TAAAGATTTTATTTCATTTGTATTAATGAGAGAACCAGGGAGTTATTACAGCTAATTCAAAGGAGAATCCAAAGAACAAACACATGTATAGATCAGGAATATTGAAATAAACTTGTAAATGGGTGCAAACCTGGCTTTTCCAGGGTGAGGAAAGACCTCTCTGCCAGAGTGAATTTTTTTGAATACCTATAAACAAAACTTATTTGCTTTGCTGTCAATTATTTGTGATTTACAGAATTGTGAAATACCTCAGAGGCATTTAAAGGTTAGAACAGTTAACTCAGAAGGCTATGCTTCAACAATGCATATTCTTCCATTGGGGGCACCCAGCAATCTTTCTGCTTATTTCAAATTTTCTTAAAACTCCAAGGGTCATTAGTATATCTGTATTATTATCACATACTTAGAACTACAACTATAAAATTTTGAAAACACACATAATTGTTCAGGCCATACACTAATCATTCCAAGCAAAACAAATTTACTTGAACCGAATATATAGTACAACATAAATCTCTAATGTCTCTGAATCAGGGTTTATAGTAGGGGCTTGAAAAGAAGCTAGAGAGAAAAAAATAATTCAACAGAGAGATTTATACTCATTTTCAGTCACTTCATATCAAGAAGCTAATTGAGATACTAAGCTTCCCACATAATGGTGAAGGAGGAAATTCTACAAAGCATAATTTCTCTCTTCTCAGAGGGTAGTATTTGAAATCCTTGGCCTCTTCTTGGAAAACTTAGGTATATACAGTGGTGGCACCCATTTCCTTCAGCTTCCCATCTTCTGAGACTCCCAATTCTCTTTAGATCACATCCCACGTACTTAAAACCATGTAATTAACATTTTGCCTTTGAGTCTTGGATATCTGTGTCTTGGATATCTCTGCACGCAGGCTTTGTCTCCATTCCTCCTTCCAAGTAGAATACCCAACATTTAAGACAGGAAGCACTCTAAGCAAAGTTTATTATCATACATTTTGCGCAGACAAAATATCCTGCTCTTCTTCTTGTCCCACATGGTCTCAATAGATTTTTAGTTATTTGTCTTTGTGCTTGCAGATTCTGCTTCCTTTTCTGTAATTGGTTAAATACATGGTTTATTTTTGTCCCAATTGGAGGATCTCCACGAAAAATTGCTGAATGGAAACAACTGTTGATGCTGCCTTAATGTATACCATTAGGTGAGAAGTCATCTGTGACATGTCTTCATCCCTCAAATTTATTGTCCCTCAGCTATTGAACTTTTTACCCAAAGCAGACTTTCTTTATACATCTTTTCTTCAAATAATTAGCTATAATTCTAGTGTTTCACATCCTTTTTCCTCCTAGTTATTGTAAATAAATCCACTTCTTATTTTGGTCCTTTCCTTCCCTACTCCATTGGGACTTTTCAGTAGATCTGGAGACCCTCCTGACTCTTGCTTTCAGGTCAAGCTTCTGCCTCTATTTTATTCTCCAGATTATGTCTTGCAGAGTCTCCTGTAGGAAGACATGTAAAAATAATGAGTTTTGAATCCTTCAAAACATACACCATTAAAGTCAATTCTGATCACTTTCTGTCCCATAAATACTTGATTTTTATTTCATTTTCTGTCTCTCTTTACCTTTATTTAGAATTTATTTAAATTTCCCAGGCCATCCCCTATAATAACTCTATTACTTTAAGACATATTTAATAATTTAAAAAGTATTACACATTGATTTTTCAGGTCTTCTTCATTCAAATTTGTCTAAATGTTAAACCATCTTGTAGCTAATGTCATCATTAAGAAGCTGTTTCTCAATTGCTTTTCTAATTGATTTCTGATTAATAGCTTAAAAAGGACTCCTCTCTATAGATTTTAGGGTCTCAGTTCCTCTGGAGGCATTCATCAATTTGGCATCTGAGATTCTCTCTGCGTTTTGTTAGGTTTTTGTGTTTGTTTGTTTGTCTGTTTGTTTAGCTCCAGTGATCTTCCTAACGAATAGCAGCTCGATTATATCCTATTCTTCTTAGTTCCATTTATAAAGTAGACCTCCTTTTGCCATTCTATAGATAGATGGTATATAGATCAATAGATCTATAGATGGATAGATAGACAGACAGATAGATGGATAGCTTTGTTTTTAAGATCTCAATCTTTCTCAAGACAAAATCACTTCCTGCCATTGGCAAACTGTGTGTCTTACTTGGACGTTCCTGTTTGGACTGCAAGAGCATTTTGGGGCTGCAACTTATAATATTCATTCTTCACTGAACAAACTTGGCACCTAGAAGATCTGGGTGTAAGTCTTTTTAATTTTCTTCCTAGATTTTATTTTTGTAGAATTACATTGAAGTTTTCCTCTTCTTCAATCTAAGAAACGTATATTTCCATATAATAAGGATCTTCATTTCTTTTCGTCTGCTTATTGATGTTTTACTATTTTAGCATAATTAACCTCCAGCCTGGGTGTCTGAATTAAACAATTATAATCAGAGCTTAAGAAATAAATAGAATAAAATTTAGACTGTGGGGGCCTGCCCTGTGGTGTAGTGATTAAGTTCATGTGCTCCATTTCCATGGCCTGGGGTTCGCAGGTTTGGATACTGGGTGTGGACCTACACACTGCCCATCAAGCCATGCTGTGGTAGCTTCCCACATACAAAATAGAGGAAGACCAGCACAGATGTTAGCTCAGCAGCAATCTTCTTCAAGCAAAAACAGGAAGATTGGCAACTGATGTTAGCTCAGGGCTGATCTTCCTCACCAAAAAGAAAAAATTTAGATTGTGTACGTGCAATTGAGAATAGTTGTCTATGTCCTGGGCAGGGCATCATAAAAGGAGAAAATACAAAACAAAACAAATCTCTCTATCCAGCTGTGCTTAAAGAGCCTATATTGTGATGTTTTGCTTGCTTTGAGATAAGTCTTACATGGAAATTAACAAAAAATTTCCTGACAATCTAGCATCTAGAACATCCAGGCTTATAGTAACATCCATGGTTATGGTATAAGAAACTACCAAATGTGCAATTCATTTCTTGCTTGGCCTAAGTTTGCTAAAGGCAGTTACAGCAGCTGCTCCCCAAATCTGATTCCATATACAATGTTATTCATAAAGGTTTCTTGACAATCTCTCAATATTTTGCAGTGGTGGAGGGAGGTATAAGAGTCAGCCTAATATTCATTTCTCCTTGTTTTTGATTATAACCAATGAACTGGGCCTGGAATGGATACAAATTGGAAATCAATGTGTAAGTTTTACTGACACAAATCAGTAAGCAACCAAGAGCTCACTACTCAGAAAGAATAAGACCAACTGATAAAGCTAAATTGGAGAATACAATTTGGGTCAAAGATCAAAGTGGGGGACCTCTTACTATCTCCCATATTTAGAAGTTGATAACCATTGGTGGAAAGAACTGGGTCTATAGAGATATTATAGCTGATGACATTGAAGATTATAGACTTGCTTCATCACATAATTGCTGACAGGAGAGGGAGCACAAGAGAGTGGGAGATGGGGACACCGTCTTCTTGCTGCAGCAATCCACAACTCCTAGTATAAATGTCAGATGCTCAATAATAAGAGTAAATCTTTTATCTCCCTGTAAGAAGAGTGAGTTAATTAGATAGAGAAACTAAAAGCGTTGATTCCTGTAATCTACCCCTGTGGAGAAGAAAGTAAAATCACATTCCAATGGGAACATGATGATGACATAGAAGGATCCTAGTGCATTCTAATGTTTAGATGCAAAAGTTGATGAACTAAGAGCCTGCTTTTTAATGAATATTCACAATTAGTAAAATTATCAAGAAAAAATGAGAATAGGTTGGAGAAGTAAAAAAAAAATGATTTCAGTAATATTTTCAAAAAAGATATCAAGAAAAAAATATGGTCAGAATATATTAATCCAATAAAAAGGAAAGTGGAAAGAAAGAGGATGGGGATATGGCCACAGGATTATGTTTGGGCAAGAAAAATAATAAGAAACAAAATTGAGAATAGAAACCACATGGCAAGAGAGTGCCTAAAAGGAGACAGAAAGCACATTCTCTCTTTTAAACATTTGGTAGAGCAAGGGAATGAGGGACGTTGTGAAGATTTTTATGTGATGGGACAGAATTACATATACTTACAAAACAGAAGGATCAAGTAAAGAAAAAGGCAGTAAAACAACCTAGGACCTGCAGAAAGGAAGAAAAGGGGTTTGTTCCTGTAGATTTACCTTACCAAAAATCTATTTGGTTCGCCAACATTTGGTGCTGAAAATTGAGGCAGTCAATTGTGGAAATAAAAAGGCCAAGAAAGGATGGTGTCTGGGTACAGGAGACAGAGTAAGCTTCAGAGGGGATGAGGGAAGGCCTTCTTCTGAAACAGAAGGGAAAGATGAGAAGATAGATTCAGAGATGCAGTTCTCAATCTTTGCTGCACATGAGAATCAGCTGCAACGATTTTAAAAATTCTGAAACTTCAGTCACACTTCTGCCCAACTACATCAGAATTTGTGGGAATGGGAACAGGAGTAAGCGATCTTAAACTTACCAAAGTGATTCCTATAAGCAGCCAAGATTGAGAACCACTGATATAAAGCACGTTTCACAAACATGTTCTGTGGAGCACTAGTTCCAAAAATAGCCACTTGAAACAGTTTAGACATTCAAATAATTTGGGGGAAATTTCTCCTATGTACTCTCTTTCTGACTGAAAATGTAGTATAGAATATTAAAGAGTCTGAGAAATCCCATAGTTTTTAAAAAAGCAAAAAACATTATACACCAGTTTTCACCCAAGTTATACCTCACAGAACTTGAATTCAATAGATCTCATTTTAGAACTTAGTGGTTTAGGGAAAATGGACTGATTAGAGATGAGATTATGCATGGACATTTGTGGGTGACATTAATCCCTTCTCTGAAATAGGAGGCAGGGAAGACAAGATACATCATGTACCAAACTAGCATGTGGTGAATGAGATTATGGACATGAAACCTGAACATGAATGGAAAAAGTTCTCAAACAGTAGATATGGGGTGCTCGCTTCAGCAGCACATATACTAAACTTGGAAGGATACAGAGAAGATTAACATGGCCCTTGCACAAGGATGACAAGAAAATTCATGCAGCATTCCATATTTTTCCAAGAATATCCTATCCAGCAAAAAATCCTTCAGATATAACATAGAAATGAAAACTTTTCCAGATAAACAAAAGCTAGGGGAGTTCACCACAAGACCCCCCTAAAAGAAATTATCAAGAAGAGCTTCATACCTGAAAAAAGAAGAAAAGTGTTACAAAGTCCTGAGTAGGAAGATAAATAGATAGACAAAATCAGAAAATTGTAGTTATCCAACAGAACAGGTTAGCAAACACAAAATTATAACATTAAAATAAAAGGAAGGAAAACACCAAAAATAAATATAATCTTGTCATTTTAACCACAAACTCACAACACAGGATGGAATAAGATGTGACAAAAACAACTTAAAAGGGGAAGAGGAAATGGATGGAATTACCTAAGTCTAAGGAAATAAGAGGTTAGCAGAAAGTGGACTGTCTCATCTACAAAATCTTCCATACAAACCTCAGGGTAACAACTAAACAAATAATTAAACACAAATAATAAATAAGGAGAAAACTAAGAAAACCAGCATAGAAAACTACCAAACTGAATTGGTAGTCTGAAATACCTGGGACGAGAAACAAAGGAAATGCAGAAAAACTTGAAAATGAGGGGTAAAATGAAGGGAGAAAATGAACCATTAAGTCTTCATATATCAATAATCACTCTAAATATAAATAGACTGAAGTCTCCAATCAAAAGACAGAGTGACAGATGGATTACAAAACAAGACCACACAATACACTGCCTCCAGGAAACACATCTCAGCTCCAATGACAAACGCAGGCTCAGAGTGAAGGGATGGAAGATGACACTCCAAGATAATGACAAACAAAAGAAAGCAGGTGTCACAATACTTATATCAGACAAAACAGGTAAAGAGATAAAATAGGTAGAGAGAGAAAAAGAGGGGCAGTATGTAATGATAAAAGAGTCACTCCACCAAGAAGACATAGCACTTATAAACATCTATGCACCCAACACAAGAGCATCCAAGTACATAAAGCAACTATTAGCAAACCTAAAAGGAGATGTTAATAACAACACAATCATAGTAGGGGACTTCAACACTCTACACACATCGATGGATAGATCATCTAGACAGAAAGCCAACAAGGAAACAGTGTAATTAAATGAAAAAACTAGATCAGATGGACTTAGATATATACAGAACACTCAATCCAAAAACAGCAGAAGACACATCCTTCTCAAGTTTGCAAGGAACATTCTCAAGGATAGATCGTATGCTGGGAAATAAGGCAAGCCTCAATAAATTTAAGAAAGTTGACATAATATCAAGTAACTTTTCTCACGACAATGCTACGAAACTAGAAACCAACTATAAGAAAAAAGTTGAGAAAGGGAGAAAACTGTGGAGACTAAACAGCATGCTACTGAACAACAAATAGGTCATTGAAGAAATTAAAGGAGAAATCAAAAAATATCTGGAGACAAATGGAAGTGAAAACATACCATACCAACTCATATGGGATACAGCAAAAATAGTCCTAAGAGGGAAATTCATCACAATACAGGCTCACCTGAACAAACAAGAAAAATCTCAGATAAGCAATCTCAAACTACATCTAACAGAATTAGAAACAGAAGAACAAAAAAGCCCAACTCAGCAGAAGGAGAGAAATAATAAAAATCAGAGTGGAAATAAATGAAATTGAAATAAAAAAGATGGTCAAAAATATCAATGAAACAAAGAGCTGGTTCTTTGAGCAGACAAGCAAAATTGACAAACCCTTAGCCAGACTCACTAAGAAAAAAAGAGAGAAAGCTCAAATAAATAAAATCCGAAATGAAAGAGGAGAAATTACAATGGACACCACAGAAATACAAAAGATTTGTAAGAGAGTACTATGAAAAATTATATGCCAACAAATTGGACCATCTAGAAGAAATAGATAAATTCTTAGACTCTTACAATCTCCCAAATTTGAATCAAGAAGAAATAGAAAATCTGAATATACCAATCACAAGTAAAGAGATTGAAACAGTAATCAGAAACCTCCCAGAAAATAAAAGTCCAAGATCAGCCGGCTTCTCTGGAGCATTCTACTAAAGATTCAAAGGTTTATTACCTATACTTCTCAAACTATTCCAAAAATTGGGGAAGATGGAACACTTCCTTACACATTCTATGAGGCCAACATCACCCTGATACCAAAACCAGACAAGGACAACACAAAAAAGGAAAATTACAGGCCAATATCACTGATGAACATAGACACAAAAATCCTCAACAAAATATTGGCAAACTTAATACAGCAATACATCAAAAAGATCACACCATGATCAAGTGAGATTTATAGTAGGGACACAGGGATGGTTCAACATCACAAATCAATCAATGTAATACACCACATTAACAAAATGAGGAATAAAAACCACATGATAATCTCAAATGCAGAGAAAGCATTTGAAAAGATCCAAGATCCACTTATGATAAAAACTCTTAATAAAATGGGGATAGAAAGAAAGTACTTCAACATAATAAAGCCCATATATGACAAATCCACAGCCAATATCATACTCAATGGGGGAAAAACGAATTCATCCCTCTGAGAACAGGAACAAGATAAGGGTGCCCACTCTCACCACTCTTACTCAACATAGTACTGGAGGTTTTGGCCAGAGCAATTAGGCAAGAAAAAGAAATAAAAGGAATCCAAATAGGAAATGAAGTGAAACACTTGCTGTTTGCAGATGACATGATTTTATATAGAGAGAACCCTAAAGAATCAATCAGAAGACTATTAGAAATAATCAACAACTACAGTAAAGTTGCAGGGTACAAAAACACTTACAAAAATCAGTTGCATTTCTATACTTTAATAATAAACTAAAAGAAAGAGAACTCAAGAATACAATCACATTTACAATCACAACAAAAAGAATAAAATATCTAGGAATAAATTTAACCAAGGAGGCGAAAGACCTGTACAATGAAAACTATAAGACATTACTGAAAGAAAGATGACATAAAGAAGTGGAAAGATATTCCACACATATGGATTGGAAAACTAAACATAGTTGAAATGTCCATACTACCAAAAGCAAGCTACAGATTCAATGCAATCCCAATCAGAATCCCAATGACTTTCTTCATTGACATAGAGCAAAGAATCCTAAAATTCATATGGGACCACCAAAGACCCAAAATAGCTAAAAGCAATCCTGAGAAAAAGGAAGAAAGCTGGAGGCATCACAGTCCCTGACTTCAAAATATACTACAAAGCTATGGTAACCAAAACATCATGGTACTCATACAAAAACAGGCACATAAATCGACGGAACAGAATTGAAGGCCCAGAAATAAAACAACACAGCTAATCTCCGACAAAGGTGCTAAGAACATACAAAGGAGAAAGGAAAGTCTCTTAAATAAATGGTGTTGGGAAAACTGGACAGCCACATGCAAAAAATGAAAGTAGACCAATCTCTTTTGCCATACACAAAAATTAACTCAAAATGGATCAAAGACTTAAAGGTAAGACCTGAAACCATAAAACTTCTAGAAGAAAATATAAGTAATACACTCTTTGACGTCAGTATTAAAAGGATCTTTTCAAATATGGTGTCTCCTCAGACAAGGGAAACAAAAGAAAAAATAAACAAATGGGACTTCATCAGACTAAAGATCTTCTACAAGGCAAGGGAAACCAGGATCAAAGCAAAATGACAACCACCAATTAGGGGAAAATATTTGCAAATCATATAGCTGACAAGGGGTTAATCTCCATAATATATAAAGAACACACATAACTCAACAACAAAAGACAAACAACCCAATCAAAAAATGGGCAGAATTTGGACAGGTATTTCTCCAAATAAGATATACAGATGGCAAACAGACATATGATAAGATGTTCACCATCACTAATCATCTGGGAAGTGCAAATCAAAAGTACACTTAGATATCACCTTACCCCTGTTAAAATGGCTATAATCACCAAGACAAAAAGTAACAAAGGTTGGACAGGTTGTGGAGAAAAGTGATCCCTCATACACTGCTGGTGGGAATGCACACTGGTGCAGCCACTGTGGAAAACAGTACAGAGATTTCTCAAAAATTAAAAATAGAAATACCATAGGATCCAGCTATCTGACTACTGGGTATTGATCCAAAGAAACTGAAATCAACAATTCAAAGAGACATATGCACCCCTATGTTCATTGCAGCACTATTCACAATAGCCTAGATATGGAAGCAACTCAAGTGTCCATTGACTGATGACTGGATAAAGAAAATGGGGTATATATAGAGGATGCAATACTACTCAGCCATAAAAACAAGACAAAATTATCCCATTCACAACAACATGGATGGACCTTGTGGGTATTATGTTAAGTGAAATAAGCCAGATGGAGAAAGACAAACACCACATGATTTCACTCATATATGGAAGATAAACAAACACACAGACGAAGAGGAGAGATCAGTGGTTACCACAGGGAATGAGGTTTGGGGGAAAACACAAGGGGTTAAGGGGTGCACTTATATGGTGAATGACAAACAATAATGTACAACTGAAATTTCACAATGTTGTGAACTATTATGACCTAAATAAAATAAATAAAAGCTGATATGGGGAGTGTGATAGGGAATCAGAATAATGAAGGGGTGCTATGCAGGGGTCTTGCTCTTAACCTTGCTGCAGGTGTAGCATTGCTTTTCACGAAACAAAACTATATGATGACAGTATATTTTCATATGTAAAGTGAGCTTCTAAGTCGGTAAGTAACTTGGCCAATGTCACATAGTTAATCTATGTTAAATTAAGAATTAGAAACAAATCTTCAGGATATAAGCAATTTTAAGTGCTACTTAAAATTTTGAGGCTTAAAAACAAGAGTTTTAGTTAATCAGATACACATTTTGGATGTAAAAATGACAATAGAACTAAATTGTGAAGTGGGATTATTATTCAATTGTTAGGTAATAAGTATGGGAATGATGTTGGCTGTATTTTGAAACTTTGGCCGTTGGAGAGTTGTAGAGACATGGA